GAGAGAGAGAGAGAGAGAGAGAGAGAAGCAGCTTAAGACCAGAACCTTTTTACCAAGGAGTGCAGCTGGACTGCCGCCCCATTAAGCATCTTTTTCTAGTCCATCTGGGCTAGAGCATGTTCCTCAGACTCCAGTGGGAATGCAGACTTAATTAGGACTTATCCCAAGGAGGAGGAAGAGGGGCAGTTTACAGTGGGAGATGAGCCCTCTGCTGTGTTTCAGAGCTCCTTCTCTAGTCTCAGTTCATACCCTGAGCTATCATCCTCTCTTCTCCTTCATAATTGCTGGGTTTGCATGGAGGCAAACCACAGACACACATATGGAAAGTCAATAGAAGTGGAGGCTAGAGCACAGGGGCTCTGGAGTTCATCTGGGTTTAACCCCTGGTGTCACTGAGTTCCACCTGTATGATTTAGGCCAAATCATTGGTTTCCTCTGTGTCTCCATTTCCTTAGCTCTAAAATCAGACTACTAATACAGGATCATTAGGTCAGTGCTATTGGGTTCCTGTTTGAGCTGTTCCCTGATAAGATAAAGTGGTTGTATGGAGGGGTACCTGTTCTCTTGTTACTAAATCTGAAAAGTATTAATTAAGTTGCCAGTTTTACTTTTGTCTGTGCTAGACACCAATAGAAGAGATCCTGGGCTCAGGATCTTGGGCTCCAAGCTGGACTGCCCCACACAGCCATGTGGACAAACAGCAGAAAGGCAGGATCAGTAATACAGAGTAGGATGGGAACACGTCACGGATTTCATGAAATTGTCACTTGTTCTTTTATGCAGTAGTACTTACAGAGTGCCATTCCATACCAGTCATTTTGCAGAAGTTCTGGACATACACAATGATCAGGCCTCTTGTCCAAAGGAAACTGTACTCTAACACAGAGTTTGGTTCCCAGTATAATTAGCGAACAATAGGGTCAGCATAAGGTGTCATCCTAAATTAAGGGTCTGTGTCAGGGGTGGCTTCCTGGAGGAGGTAACATTTAAGCCAGATCCCCAAAAGAGTGAAGGATGGGGCATGAAAGGTGTTTGAAGCAGAGAGAATAGTCTGTGCAAAGGCCCAGAGGTGAGTGAGTGTAATGTATGTATCGAGGAGTCTTGGCTGTGGAATTGGCTGAATTTGTTGCTGTTTTTTGCAGGGACATGGAGAAGGTGGAGCGGCAGGCAGTGCCCCAAGCCAACCACACAGAATTGTGTCGAGACTGTGGCCGTGTTGGACCTGGACATTCGAGAGATTGTCCTCATTGTGGCCATGATGATTCCTTYGGCTTTGAGAGGCGGGAGCAGGAGGAAGAGCGGTACCGTTCTCAAAAGGACCCACTGGAGGGGAAGAGGGACAGGAGCAAGTCCAGGTCCCCGTATTCACCAGCAGAGGAGGATTCCTTATTTGTGGATTTACCCAGTGGTCCGAGAGGCCAGCAGGCACAGCCACAGCGGGCAGAGAAGAATGGTGTGCTCCCCATCTATACTCCAGGAGAGCAGAACGGGACTGGCGGGTACCAACGGGCCTTTCCTCCAAGGGCCAACCCAGAGAAGCACAGCCAGAGGAAGAGCAGCCTGGCCCAGGCAGAGGCCTGGGCAAAGGCCCAGAAGGGAGATGGCAGAAGGTCAGTTGTAGACTCGGGATCTTGCTAATAATGGGCATAATAATGTAGAAACAATGGCTATCATTTCCTCAGCACTCACTGGGTAAATGCCTGCCTTAAACTCTTTACCTCCATTATCTACATAAATCCCTCTAACAGCCTGGCAAGGAGGAATGATATCTCTAATTTATAGACAGAGAAACTGGGGCATAGAGAAGTGAAGGAACCTACCCAGGGCACAGAGACTAGAGGCAAAGCCAGAGTTCACACCTGGGTCTGTGGGTCTCCCAAGCCCACACAGAGTTACACCAAGGTGTCTGTGCTCCTCTTTGATGATGCTTGAGATAGTAATGGATCTTCTCTTTTGCTTCTTTCTCTCTGCACCTGAGAAATATTTGTAGAAATGAAAGTAAATACAGATCCATGATTTCATTCTAGGCACATGGAGAAGTGCTCAGACCCTGTTGACATTAGGTTTTATCAAGCCCATTCCTTCAAGAAGTGATCTTTAATTGTTTAGAAGAGGTGCATCTCTTGCTATTTGCAAAGCACTATCTGCATCATATTCTAATTTTAAATTAATTAGGACACATTTATGAACATGAAAAATCCAGGATCACCCAGCTTCTCTGCTGTCCCCAGTAACCACTGTACTTTGTCTTCATTATGAAGACATGACAAATTCCCTCACTGTCTTCAGCCTTCTGAAAACAAACCACTGAAAGGAGAGGAGATAGTAAAGCTAATGTGAATTTAGAAAGCCCTCCAGGGTCTGGAGAGGCAATGGTAGATGTACCAGAGCTCAGTGTGCCACAGGCCTGATGACATGTTCTAAAATGTTGTTGAGACCCAGACTGTCTGCCTGTGGCTCTGCAGACTGTGGTACTCCTCAGGGAACAGTTTGGGCCTGTTTTCAGATGTGTGGAGCTGTATGCATGGATTGCTATGACCCTCCCTTAATCTGCTCTAGCTGGGTTATTGTGAGGATGGACCTAGAGAAATCACAATGGAATCCCTTTAAGTGATTGAGAGACATAGCTGGGCAACAAACCAGGGAAGGCCTTTTATTTGGTAACTAAGATACCTTCCCACTCCCACCTTGGAATGACCAGGTGTCAATTCTTTTTTTTCCCCCCTCCCCTTTCAACTTTGTGTCTTATTGAAAATAGAAAGCTACTGCCCCAGGCAGGGGAGTGAAGCTGCTCTCCTTGGTGCTGGGGTAGGTGACCCCTACCCAGGTAGTGAGTGTAAGATGACCCACTGCTGAGAGAGGTTAGAAAATTGGCAGGGGTGGTATCATATGGGGGTCCTCATTTTCCAAGGTAAGGCATTTGAATTTTATTTGAAAAAACAATGGGAAATCACTGTAAGTCTTTAAGCAGGTAAGTGATGTGATCTGATTAATATTTTTCAAAGAAAATAAGAGTCTAGGAGGAGGCTACTGGTAATGATGGAAATAGAAATAAACAGATTTGAGGTGTTTTTGAAGATGGAAATCATGAAGTTTGTCAATGCATTGGATGTGCAGGTTGAAGGGAAAAGAGGAATGAGGATGATCCCTAGATTTTGACTTGAGTAACTAAGTGGTTGCTGAAATGAGAAAGGCTAAGCAAAGAATAGGTTTGGAGAAAATCAGGATTTCCATTTTGGAATGTCAGTGGAGAGGGCTGCAGGTGGAMCTGGACTTGGTGTTCAGGTTTATAGGTAGATGTGGTGCCTTGAGCCAGGTGTATGCACAGCCCAGGGAAGTGAGCTTGATGGGGAGTGCTGTATATGTGGCATGTCCAGGAGAAAATGACCAGTAGGTTATAAGGAATGTGAGTATAGTCAGTAGAGAGATTAGTGGTCATTGCTCTGGAGGTGATAACTGATGGCTCTGGCAGTAGTTACTTACCCAAGGTAGAATGCTTAGAGCCATGATTCTTAATCCTGGCCTTGCAATTTGATCATGAGCTTTAATTGATCTGGGGTAAAGTAAAGGCATTGTATGTTTTAAGAGCTCTCCTGGTGATCCCACCAGTATATGGCCACAGTTAAGAAACTGTTGCTTGGCTAAACAAGCCTAACTTGAGAGGTTCAATACTGATGGAGGCCTCATTTCCATGCCCTGAAATCTGCTTTCATTGGCCTGGGTTACAGCCTGGGCATCAGGATTTTAAAAAGCACATGCTTTCCTATCCTTCCTCCCTCGATAATTCTCACATGCAGACAGGGATGAAAATTCCTAGCTCAGAGTGAGCTATAGCAGAGAGCCAAAGACAGAACCCTGGGAATCCCCAGGCCAACGCCTAGGCAAAAACAGTCTCCTTAAAGGGAACTGAGAGCTGGGTGTGGTGGCGCACATATGTAATCCCAGTGCTTGGGAGACCGAGGCAGGAGGATTGTGAATTCAAAGCCAGCCTCAACAAAAGTGAGAAATTAAGCAACTCAGCAAGAACCTGTCTCTAAATATACAAAAAAAGGGCTGGGGATGTGGCTCAGGTATAGACCAGAGAAGTGAGTTTGATGGGGAGTGGTCAAATGCTCCTGAGTTCAATCCCTGGTCCCCCCCACCCAAAGAAAAAAGAATGAAGCAGGAGATGAAGGAGGATAACTGGAGTGTTCTGTGGAGACAGTGTCCATAGGAAGGAGTTTGGTCAGCAGTGCAGAGTGCTGTGAATGAAGACTTCTCCCTAGCTGTGGTACCTTCCAAGGTGGGTGCCCCTAAAGAAAAGTCTGGAACTTCAGGGTCTCTATTGGTCTTTTGCTCATGACTACAGGTTTTTTTTTCCTATGAGTTTCTGGGTGGTCTTTAAATGGACAGAGCTGTATTGCTGTCCTTAATAGAGAATTTCAAAGGTAGGTCAGGAAACAAAGTCATAGGAGGGGAAGAAACCAATGAGATGACACTGAGAACTCTTTTGTGGTGAAAGGACTTTCAAAAAAAGGGGTGACTGGCAATTTAAAGTTGTTAATTGTGAAATGTCACAGCATAACTATTTCTGGCAATTCACAAGCTCTGCTACAAATGACCTGTATTAGGGAACAGGGGTAAGCATCAGGAAGCTGAAGGATAAGTCAACAAGGAGAGGAGAGGTGGCTGGGAAGGTCACTGGACTTTCTTAGAATGTGAGGTTGGCATTTGAGCCATTCTTATCTAAGGAGCAGGGGACATTAGGTCTGTGGAGAACATTGTTCATAGGCTTTGGAGATTGTTGACACACAAAGGAATTTCAGTCTAGCAGTGGAAGCAGATCTCAAAGGTCTGAAAAGAGAATAAGAGTAATTGAAGACGGAGTACAGGGAAGAAAGTGCTGTCAATCTCTGAGTCTGCTTAGATCACTGATATTTCACTTGTTTCTTGAAAGGTCTATATCTTGCATTCCCAGATATTTTTTTTTCTTAAAGATATATGTGTAATTTCTAACAGTATGTGGTAAATAGATCTGGCCGCTTAATAAGGAACCTCCACCATTTTCCACTGGAAAATATAGAAGATGGATATCTCTGCTTTGTGTGTAATTAAGACTGTGCTAATCTCATTATCATTAGACTGAGCACGTTAAGGTATTTGGATTGCATTGTGATCCTGTATTCATGACTTTAGACCACACAGGGAATTATTCCTAACTGTTCTTTTGGTACTTGAAGGTATATATTATATTTCACATCATTCAACTGCTTCACAATATGGTTTATAGGAATCAGACTGTCATAGCTTAGTGTATTAGTACATTCTAAGAGCTTGTTTTGAAATTCTAGCCTTATACCCCCTCCCCCACTGCATAGTTTAAAGTAAAGCATCCTTGTAAAATAAAAAGGCAGAGATGGAGACTGAGAAGGGGACTCAAACACTGCTATAAGGAACAGTAGGAAGTCCTGCATGATTGATGTGGAAGTTGAATTTGATGTGGAAGGAATTTCTGCTGCATAAATAATTGGTTACAAAAAATGGTTTCACACTTTGAAATATTTCACACACATTTGTAGTGGGTTTATTGGAATATCCTGCTTAGTGCCTTTTGGGATGGGGAGACCCCATAGCTACAGATCAGGGTATGAGGACAAAAGACTTTGAATCTCATTTTGGGGGGGTAAGACTGGGGTGGGGGCCAGCAAATAGATCTGCTGTCAGGGCAGAGCTGCTTTGGGAGCTCCCACCTCTTCCTGGGAGTCTTTATCTCATCTTCTGGCTATCTCCCATGTCTTTTACTCTGGTAAAGTCAGAGCCTACCATTGTACTTATATCTTGGGGTCATCCTCAAGTGGTAGACATTATGTAAATRGAGGGTACAGGCTGTAGGATGAGCTCAGGGCCTGGGGTGCCGACCAGTAGGGGCCTCTGATTATCCAGGCACAGCAGACAGGCTCCCAGAGTGGGCTGCTGAGCAGATCACATGCAAGAGGACAGGCCTGGTCTGGGGGACTTCCTGGTGTAGGGGCTAAGACCTTCCAGATGCTATAGGAAGGCACAGAGAGTGAGCTGCAGAACCAGACAGAAGGGTTGAGGGTGGGAGCATAGCTGGGACATGCTTTGCGTGCTTAACATTTTCTTTAGGCAGAATGAACAATGGCTGCTAAAGTCCTGCTCTTCCCAGGGGAAGCCCTCAGCCTGGTTTTTGCCCCCACCACCACCTCCATCAGATGCAGGCAGGTGCTGCCTACCGCAGAGAAAACATTCCTATCTAAATTTGAGAAATCAAAAGCTAACCCTGCCACCTAGTGGCAAGCAAACACACTTGGTGCACAGGTCAGGTCTGGGTTGAAGAGATCTTAAAATATCCTTCTGCAACCTGCAAAGTAACCATTAAAGGGGATTAAAAAAAAACTATTTGAATGATATGTATTGCTAATCCTCACAACAATCTATTAAGTGGTTCTTGCTATCCCCTTTTTATACTGAGGAAAATGAGATTCAGAGGACAGAAATGACATTGCCTGAGTTCAGGTAACTAGAAATGATTAAATGAACTGAGGTTAAGACAATTAGAAGAGCACTTCTCAAACTTCAGGGAGAGTCAGAATCACCTGGAGTGGGGGCTGTTAAAAGAGGTGACCAGCCTCTGCCCCAGAGCTTCTGATTTGTAGGTCTGTGGTGGAACTGATAACCTGCACTTTAAAATTTTATTTTTAATTAAAAAGTCATAATTATATAATATATATATATTTGTGAGATACATGTAATATTTTATATATGTATATTGTAGAATGGTTAAATTAAGTAAATTAATATGTCACCTCATCTATTATTTTTTAGTGTTGAGAATACTTTGAGCTTTGAACAATTTTGAAATGTGCTATAGTCACCACATTATTCCACAGAACTCTAATTTTTGTTCTTCCTGTCTAACTGAAATTTTGTCCCCTTTGACCAACATCTCCCTCTCACTATCCTCCTATTTCCAATCTCTAGAAACCACAGTTCTGCTCTTTGCTTCTTTGAGTTCCACATTTTAATATTTTACATATAAGTGAGATCATACAGAATCTATCATTCTTTTCCTGATTAATTTCACTAACATACGTTTTTAACAAGTACCCAGATGGTGCTGATGCTGCTGGTCTGTGGACCACACTTTGAGTAGCATTGGCATAGAACTGTGTCTGGCACATTGTGGTACTATATCAAAGWCTGTTAGATAAAACTGATAAAAACAGGATCAGGTATTGAACTCAGGCATGACTCCAAACCTGATCTCTTTTTACAATCATACTTACAGGTTAGACTTTAAGGCTTAATAAAGCTCCATAATTTGTCCCTTACTGAGTTTTTCATCCTTCTTAGAAAATAAGATGACTAAGTTCTTAGTGGTTTTCAAAGTCATATCCAGATCTTGAAGCGCTTATTGAAGGACTAGTTATATGTGTCAGGAGTTCCCCCAGACTGTGGAATATACCACAGAGTATGAGACACAGTTCTTTTCCTTCAAGAATTTTCATCTTGGCTGGGGAAGACACTTCTTGCATGTATGAAAAGGTCACATCCACAAAGGACCTTGGAAACAGTATAGACAGTGTGATAACGAAGTTAAACAAAGGAGGAATGTTGAAGGCTACAGCATTGTGAAGGCCCCCATTAGAAAGGCATGGGCCACTGTCCTGGAGAATAAGATTTGGGTAAATAGTGGGAGGATAACCTATACAGATTGGGGAGGGAAGAAGAGTGTTATGAGAATAAAGAGGGGGAAGGTGGTGCACACTGGTGGAAGATCTTGTCGGAGAATGCCTTATTCCTTTAGGTTCTCATTTACTCATCAGAATAGCTGTATGAGGCAGGTAATGCTGTCTCACACTATAGGTAGTGAGGCTGAGACCTAGCAGTCAGAAAAACACCTAGAGTTGCATAGCCAGTGAATGTTAGTGCTTGGCTACTACCTGCTTTTTCCCTGTGAGAAGTTGATCGGGTGTGGACAGCAGTGGGCTGGGACCAGGGTGAAGCTCATTTTCAGGCTCCAGCAGGTGTGGGGCTGTGCCTGACAGAGAGTGCCTCCTTAAGGTTTGAGCCCTAGGCATCTGGCTTGCCCCAGCTGAGTCCTAGCCCTGGTAGGAGGAGGAGTAAGAAAACACTAGGGCTGCAGGATGCATTGAGGCCAGGTGCAGGAATTTAGATTTGATTTCATAAATCTATGGGGAAGTTTGGAGTATGGGAGTGATTGGATCAGAGCAGGTGACTGTTCAGGTTAGGAATGATTTAGGAAGGTCTTCCAGTAATCTGGGTGAGATCATTAATCAGTATCTAGACTAGAATAGTAGGAAGGGGAGGAACTATGGTAGCCATTTCCTTTAAGAGTCTCCAGAACTTGGTCCTAGGATCCCAGGCAGAGGGAAAGTCTCAGGAACCCAGATGTACAAAAAGCCTTTTCTAGACATGAGCACACCCATGTGTGCTGCTGGCAAGAGGGACAGAAGGATTAGGCCACTCAATCACACTACACTGGAAGAGAGGAACATGGGGCAGATGGTAGGGAGCTGGCAAACAAAACTACTTTTGGAGTCTTCTACAAAAGTAGTTGGAGCCTGGAGTCCTGGGTGTCTGCTTTATCATTATTTGGGGTTCTTATAGGACTCCCCAACATGCCTGGTTTTGTGGATATACTGAACTCTGTTCCCTTGCTTGGTGGCCTGACCTGTCCTTCCCTTTCTCCTCAGCCTTCCCTCAGACCAGACACTTCCTCGCCAGGGTCCTAGCCAACCCCTGTCCTTCCCAGAAAACTATCAGACTCTGCCCAAGAGTGCCCGACACCCCTCGGGGGGCTCTTCACCCCCTCCCCGGAACCTGCCAAGTGACTACAAATACGCACAAGATCGAGCCAGTCACCTGAAGATGTCCAGTGAGGAGCGCCGGGCACACCGGGATGGCACCGTGTGGCAGCTGTATGAGTGGCAGCAGCGCCAGCAGTTCCGGCATGGTAGCCCCACAGCACCCATCTGTGCTGGCTCCCTGGAGTTCTCTGACCAGGGCCGGAGCAGGAGCATGCTGGAAGTGCCCCGCTCCATCTCTGTGCCTCCATCTCCCTCTGATATCCCTCCCCCCGGACCTCCAAGGGTCTTCCCACCTCGGCGGCCACACACGCCAGCAGAAAGGGTTACTGTGAAGCCACCGGACCAGAGGAGGAGTGTGGACATCTCACTAGGGGCTTCTCCCAAAAAGGCACGTGGCCATACCATCAAGGTAAGGCTTGAAAACCTGTCATGTGCCTGGGGTCTGGCCTTTGGGTGTCAAGAACCTCACCTGGCTTGAGTACAGATTTGAGCTAGTGGAACTAATAATAACAGCTAACTTTATGCAGTACTTTTGGAAGCAAGTGTAGTTCTAGAAGTTTTATTTTAATTCTTACCAAAACCCTTTGAAGTAGGTGCTGTGATGGGTCCATTCCACAGATGAGAACTCAGAGACATTGAAGAGAAAATAACTTGCACAGGTCACACAGTCTGCTGATCAGGAAAAGATGTCTGTGCTCAATCAGTTCAGTTATTTACAGCCCAACATAACTTTTAACTCTCCAAGGGGCTTTCACAGTTTTCTGTGCTGTACCCTTTGAGGAAGATATGTATTCCTATTTTACAGTCAGGAATCTGGAACTCAAAGAGGTGAAGTAGCATGTGGTAGGCTGACCTGGGAGAGAGTGCCCAAGGCCTTCTTTCCTTGCCTCACTGTGACTTTTTGATTCCCCACCTGCAGAACTCTTCTCATGTGGACCGACGCTCCATGCCCTCGATGGGTTACATGACCCACACTGTCAGTGCTCCCAGTTTACATGGAAAATCGGTAAGCAGCCCCTCATCTCTTCCTCCAGGTGTGTGATAGAATACAGCCTGTGAGAACTTATCTACTGGGGGTTTTCCTCCTCCCTGAGTCATGCAATCTATCAGGCAGCTTTAACCCCTGTTTAGAGATGAAGAAACTCAGGCTCAAAGGAATCCGGTGACTTGCTTGGCATCATGCAGCTGGCCCTTCAAAGACGAACTTAAGGGGAAGTCCAAGGGAATGCTGGACTCGGCTTCTCTTTTGAATAGAATTTTGTCAAAAGCATATTCCAGCCACTTGCTCTCTCCCAGTAGCTTCCCTCCTTTTTTCCCTGGTCTTTACAATGATTAATTAACTCTTCCTTCAAAGTTCGAGTCTGGGGGCTGGGAGTATAGCTTAGTGGTAGAATGGTTGCCAACGTGCAGGAAGTCCTGGGTTCAATCCCCAGCACCACAAAAAACAAAAAGTTGTTTTTTTTTTTTTTTTTAAACCAACCTCAAGTCTGGGTGAGGTTGCACTGTTGGTTGCAGCTTTCCTGAGAAAACAACTTCCTGTAGCCCTTTGCTACCACTGCCTTTATTTGTCCTAATGACAAAATTAATGCAATCATTACTTAGTGGTGTAGCATCAGTGCTATCCCGGCACCGGGGCGAAGAGTATAATTAAAGTGGCGTGCCCCTGTGGTGGCTAATTTCTTCCTGATGTGTCTACACACCTGCAGCTGGAGGAGCTCTCACTGCTTCTCACCCGGTTGCGGCGGCACCAGGCCAAGTTGGCCAGTGTGCGAGATTTCGCTGTCGGCCAGTTACTGCAGCGCTACCTGACCTTTCCCACCTGCCAGGTTAGCGCTGGTGGCTTCTCCCAGGGCCGGGGTGTGACATGCTGGCCCATGATCCCCTGTGCTGTGCTCTGGTCTGTCTTTTCTGTCTGGCTCTCTCCCTTATTCCCTGCCTGTTTGCTTCTGGGTGCCACCACCAGATGCTGCACCAGTGGTGGAGCCTGCCCTCTGGCATTGGGGAGGGGTCTGCATGTCATGTGAGAAACCTGAAGCGTGGCTTCGCAAGCCGTACGTAGTGACTGTGAAGCTGGTGTGTGGTTGTGTCTGAAGGGCTATGCCAGCTGTCAGCCTTGTTGCCACTTTGGGCACTCCTTGGGATGCTGAAAGACACATGTGGGTCAGCCTGGAGGGAGAATACAGGGGCCTTCTCTTTTCTGGACCATGCCCTGCTGACTTGCAAAGCATCTCACATTTCATCCTGTTGAGCTTTGCAKTACCATGGGAGAGCTTAGGTGGGATGAAATTTTTATCACACAAACACAAAGCAAGTAGATCCAGAAGGGAAGGGGACTTATCCAGGATTCCTTGCAAAACCTATCTGTCGCAGTGTTCTAAACAGTGTCCAGGACATTAGGCTTTGCAGTCAGTCTCTTTGAGGACTGGCCAGAGAGTTGCTCTCCCAAGCATCTTGAGCAGCTCGAAGAAACAGATTCCTCCCCTGAGTTGTCCTCAGGTAGGGATAGGTTCAGCCTCTTGAGGCTGGTCCCTCCAGGCTGCACAGAAGTAGATGGGATAGATGAGGGTGATGGAACTGTCACCTTCCTTCCCTGTCCTGTTTTAGCAAGAACTAAGAGACTCAGGAATATATTTAGAAAAATGAATGTAAGAGCTTTGTGGTGGTACATTCCTGTAACCCCAACTGCTTGAGAGGCTAAGGCAGGAGGATGGCAAGTTCAAGGACAGACTGGGCAACTTAATGAGACCCTGTCCAAAATAAAATTTTAAAGAAGGTCTGGGGACATAACTCAGTGGTACAGCACTTGCCTAGCATACATAAGGCTCTGGACTCAATCCCCAGTACTGAAGGAAAAAAAAAAAAAAGGAAAAGAAAATGAAAAACGATTGTAAAGGGAAATATATAAAAACCATAAATTGTGGTTTGGGTGATTTTTAATAACATTCTCCAGCTCTGTCTTTTCTACTCCTGTGGAAAGTAGTAGGGACTAGGCTGATTGGCGAAGTAGGGATGGAAAAGGGGCAATGTAAAGACATAAATAAGACCTTGCAAGCCACAAGCTTCCTAGACAGTGGTCCTTCAGTTCTTCCCATGTTTAAAAGCACCACCTGAACTTCTAATGTGATTGTTTCATGTCAGAGCTGTGCATGATCCCACCTTCCACAGCCCTGGCTTGTTTAACTGGGAGACCCTCTCTTAGTTTCTAAAAATGTGGCACCTGGACCATTCTTAAGCTCTCTCAGCCTCTTAGTCTCACTGTTGGTTTCACAAGAGAGCATGAGTTCTAAGGAATCAAAAAAGCTTTTGCTTATTTTCACTGTTTCTGATAATTACACCAAAGAGCTCAACAGATAATAGGAGATGCCACAAGCAGATAGGTCTGATCCTGGGACTTCTTCCTCTAACTCTTGACATGGCCACATTGGCTTTATGCTGAGTAAAAAGAGCAAGACTTCAGGAAACTTCCACTGGCTGCCAATGCTTATTGTTCTGGAAACCACCATCATATTGGGACCTCCTGAATTACCCAAGTCATCTTCCTGACTCTTCTAGGAATTCATCCATGCCAGTCAGGGTCATTTTACTTCATGCATGTGAAGTGGCCCAGTCCAAAGGTTTGATGACAAGAATTGATGGCTAGGGTTGGAACGCAGTGGTAGAGTGCTTTCCTAGCACATGTGAGGCACTGGGTTCATTCCTCAGCACCACATCAAAATAAATAAATTAAATAAAGGTATTGTGTCCATCTATAGCTAAAAAAAAAGAATCGAAACTGATGTAACCCTAGTTCAGGTATAGCATGTGCTCTTCCAGGTAGACTCCCCCTCATTCTGCCCAGCATCTGCTTCAACTGCTCTGCTGTCCTAGTCCTCTGGTAGGAGCCTTTCTACCAGAATGTTATGCTGCGGAGTGGGATGGGGGGGCAAGCTGGCTTTGCCCACAGTGACCTGCAGTCTCCACTGTGCCAAAAGAGCTCTGTGAGTTATAGCCAGACATTTGTGCTTCCTCCGTGGCCCTGGATGTGTTGGTCTGCCGTGGCCTCTTGTTTCCAAAGCTGTGCAATGTAAATGATTCACTTGTGAAGCCCCTAGTTATGAAAAGTCTTGGTGTTCATACTGTTTGGTTTTCTTTTTTCCCTCCCTGTGTTTCCTGTGAAGGCTGATGATACCTACCTCCAGCTGAAGAAAGACTTGGAGTACCTGGATCTAAAGGTAAGTGGCATCAGGGATCCTGCCTTCCTCTGACACTCACCTTTCTGACAGTGTCACTTCCTTGGAGCTGAGCACAAAGCCAAAGGCCATGTAGTCTTATCAAATCTGGATCCCAAATGAAGAAATCTCTTATATGAATCAGAAAAATTTCATTTCTTACAGCCTCAAACTCTGGCTCTCCACAGTTTTTTTTTTTTTTTTTTAAATTCTGCTATAAGGGATCTGGCTTACATAATGAGGGCCCAAGATCTTGATCTTTTCTCCCCTTGGTCAGAACCAAAGTTCCCCCTAAAATAACCATTCACTTTTTTTAGAGCCTCTGGTAGGAGCAGGGGTTTGTGTTTGGTTCCTGGGGTACCACTGATATGTATTTTAGCCACAAGTGGCTTGGTGCATTATTTGGTTTTGTTGCTGTGGAGCAAGTTGCACATGGAATTACGTGATTTCAGGGCTTACCAATAACCTCCCTCCTTCATTTAGAGATGAATGTTAGACACACACCCCCC